GAGCTCTGGAGGGGTTTGGGAGTGGGAGAAATTCCTGCTCAGAGTAAAAGAGGGAAAAGCTCTTTCCTCATGAGTTTCTCTCCACTGAGGGAATATTCCTGCTTTTTTTCTTTTCCCAAGCTAAAATTGTGGGGATGGCAGAGATGGATAAAAAGGGGGGAAGGGGTGGAAATAAAGGGAAAAATAAAGCACAGGGAAAGATTTCCTGGCTGCTGGTTGGGCACTTCCAAGCTGGGCTGTATTTTAACTTCCTGGGATTCTGGCCTTTATTGTCCCTTCCCTGATTATCCCAGGCTTTGTTTTCCCTTTCCTGATAATTCCAGGGTTGGGGCCTTTATTTCCCTGTAACCTTCCAAACCCTTCCAGGGAGCTTTCCCAGTCTCTCCCCCTTTTCCCTCCCTCTGGCTCTGGGGGGCTCTCCTGTTCCTGAGTGATCCCTCCCAGTACCTCAGAGTGCTGGGAAAAGGAGGGAGAGGGATTTTTACATGGGAAGGGAGTGCCAGGACAAGGGGAATGGCTGAGGGCAGGGACAGGTGGGATTTTGGGAAGGGATTCCTGGCTGGGAGGGTGGGGAGGGGCTGGACTGGATTTCCCAGAGAAGCTGTGGCTGCCCCTGGATCCCTGGGAGTGTCCAAGGCCAGGCTGGAGCAGCCTGGGATAGGGGAAGGTGTCCCTGTTGGAACAAGACCCTAAAGGTCCCTTCCCACCAGGCCATTCCAGGATTTTAACCCCTCCTTTCCTGGGAAAACCCCCTGGAGCTCCCGCTGAGCAAACCCAGATCTTCCAAGCCCGGGAACCATAAAAAAGTCCCTAAAAAGGGCTGTTTTCCCACTGGGGTGTCCCTGGGTGCTGCTTTGGTCCTGGTTTCGTTCCAGACCTTCCCACTTCCAAACAAAGCTCCCAGGGCTTTGTTGGCTCCTTCCTTGGCACCCCCGACACGGCCTTTCCACCCCCGGGAAGCTCCTGTGGGATCATTGTGGGATCTTTGCTGTGGGATCATTGTGGGATCCTTTCTATGGGATCATTGTGGGATCCTTGCTGTGGGATCGTTGCAGGATCTTTGCTATGGGATCATTGTGGGATCCTTGCTGTGGGATCCTTGCTGTCAGATTCTTGCTGTGGGATCATTGTGGGATCCTTGTTACGGGATTATTGGGGGATCCTTGCTGTGGGATCATTGTGGGATCCTTGCTGTGGGATCATTGTGGGATCATTGTGGGATCCTTGCCTGTGGGATCCTTGCTGCAGGATCATTGTGGGATCCTTGCTGTGGGATCATTGTGGGATCCCTGCTGTGGGATCATTGTGGGATCCTTGTTGTGGGATCCTTGCTGTGGGATCGTTGCTATGGGATCCTTGCTGTGGGATCATTGCGGGATCCTTGCTGTGGGATCATTGCTGTGGGATCGTTGTGGGATCATTGTGGGATCATTGTGGGATCCTTGCTGTGGGATCATTGTGGGATCCTTGCTGTGGGATCGTTGTGGGATCCTTGCTGTGGGATCATTGTAGGATCCTTGCTGTGGGATCATTGTTGTGGGATCGCTGTGGCCGTGGCACCGCAGGAGCTGTAAGATCCCTGGATTTCCTGGGAAGTATCCCTTGTTCCCTCTGCTCCAGAGGGGAAGAATCACTTCCAGGATCAATTTGGGCCAGATTGTTCCTGCCCTGGTTGGTGCAGGGTGGGAGTTCTCCAGAGGGGAGTTTGGGTGTCAAGCACAGGATGAAATGGTTGGGTTGTTCCCTGGCACTGCCCAATTCCCTGCTCTCCGTGGCACTTCCAGCCAATCCTGGCCTGTCCCAGCTGGGATTCCCAAATTCTGTGGCTGCCTCGGTCCCGGAGCTGAGGGGGTTGAACAGAGCTGGGCCGGGGGGGCCAGCAGAGCCTCCTGAGGGGTCCTTTCCACCCTGCCCTGCAGATATCTCAGCTCTCCTGCTGGCACAGCTGCTCTGGGAGCAGGGAGGGGAGGATCCCACGGGATTGTGTCCCTGGCAGCCCCAGGGAGCTGAGATACCTTATCCTGATCCCAGGAGCCGGAGCCCAAACAGGCCGGGGGCCTGGGCTGCCCTGGGAATGCCGAGTGCTGGGAATGTCTGCAGGGAGGGCTCCAGGAATGCTGGGGGAGCGTCCTGGGGGGGGGGAGGCTTTGTGGGAAGAATCCTCAGGATTCCTTAATTTTAACAGTCCTCAGGATTCCTTTATTTTAACAGCCCTCAGGATTCCTTTATTTTAACAGTCCCCAGGATTCCCTCACTTAAAATCCTCAGAATTCCCTCACTTAAAATCCTCAGGATTCCTTCATTTTAATAACCCTCAGGATTCCTTTATTTTAATAACCCTCAGGATTCCTTTATTTTAACAATCCTCAGGATTGTTAAAAAATCATTTCAGGGAAGTCCAGAAACTCAAACCCCTAAAAACCTCCACCCAAACTTCACTGGAGGAGGGGGAAAAGCCACATCTTAAAGGCTCAGCTGGGTGGTTTCTCTTCCGGAGGAGTTTTGGGAATGAGCTGCAGCTGTTCCCCTGGGCACACAGAGGGGGTTTCTCCTCATATTCCCATGAAAACACAGCTGGAATTTCCCCGGTGCTCGGGAGGTTCGTTGTTGTCCCTGGAAGGCTCCTGGTGTCCCAGCAGGAGGGATATTCCCACGGGAACGGGCTCCTCCTGCTGGGAGCTGGAGCAGTGCAGGGATTGGAGCTGGAGCTCAGGGACGCTGTGTGGATGCTCCTGGATCCGGCTCCTGTCCCTCGGCACTGACTGGGAATGTCAGCCTAGGGAATTCTGTGCCTCCTCATCCCTGCTCATTCCCACTTTGCCCTGTGGAATTGTGCTGGGAAGCTCAGGTGCCGGGTCAGGGTCGGATCACGGGGACATCTTGGCCTCTCCGGTTATCCCAGAGAATTCCATGGCTCCTGCCTCGGGCTGTCCTTCCTGGTGGGATCCTCCCTCTGGTGGTGCAGCTGGTCCCGATCGCCCTTCAGCCCTCCTGGCTCCCTGCTGCTCCTCCTGCCCTGGGATTCATGGAATCCTGTGCTTCTGGAGGCAGCTTTGTGTGGTTATGGTCAGCTCAGCTTCCCTGATCCCAACTTCATCCCAACACCCTTCCCTCAAATCCAGCCCCTTCCTTCCTTCCACGTCCAGACCTCTTGAGTTCCACCTTCTCCCCTCCTGGGCTTGGCTGGGTCGGGTTTGAGGGGAGCTTTAAGGCCTTTCCTGCCGGCTGGGACAGCCCAGGAGCACCAGGACATCCCCAGCTCTGCAGCAGAGCTCCGTGGGATGCACCCCAGGGCCTGGGGCTGCAGCAGGGGGGTCTCCGGCTGGAATTCCCAAGGAGATTCCTGCTCGGGAATCGTTGCATGGGGGGCACCGGTTGGGAAGGAGAAGGAGCTCCCGGTGCCACCACGGCAAGGCAGGACTGACCCGGCCTCTGGGGGCTTAGAGTGGATTTAAACTGCTCTGAACTGGCTTTAAACTTTAAACTGCACTTAATGTGGCTTTAAACTGCTCTGCACTGGGTTTAAACTGGTTGATTCCAAGTTGTGGACTTTTAGGAATTGTTCCAGTTGGAAAAGGCTTTGAGGTCATCGGTCCAGCTGTTCCCACCACTGCCCATGTCCCCAAGTGCCACATCCACAGGGCTTGGAAATCCCTCCCGGGGTGGGAACTCTAGCCTGTTCCAAGGCCTCACCACCCTTTCCATGCAACAAATTCCTCCTCCTGTCCCACCTGCCCCTCCCCTGGCACAGCCTGAGGCCGTTTCCCCTTGTCCTGTCCCTGTTCCCTGGGAGCAGAGCCCGACCCCCCCCAGCTCCCCCCTCCTGGCAGGGACTTGCAGAGCCAGAAGGTCCCCCCTGAGCCTCCTTTTCTCCAGGATGAGCCCCCCCAGCTCCCTCAGGAGTTAGATTTCATGTCTATTTCTATTTATATAATAGAGATATGTAATATCTATTGTTATGTGTTATATATATCTTATATATCACATGTATCATATCTATTCTATATGATATATAATTTTTATATTTATATATTTAATATATTACATATTTTAATATATTATCTATTCACTTGTATGTTATATTTAGATATATATTTTATTGACTTGAAAGCACATATATACATATTTTGTAAAATACATTTATACTATATTTATATCTTTTATAACATACATTATATATTTTATAACACACATTATATATTTTATTATATACATTATATATTATATATTTTATATTTTTTATATTACTTTATATATATATATATTTATGTATATATATGGAAGAGGGAAATCCCCAGGGATTATCCCTGGCTGGTGCTCCAGCTTTGGAAGGTTTTGGGTGGGTTTTGTGCCAAGAAAAATCCATGGCATTGCTTTTCTGAGGGAATCTCTGGGAGTTCATCCCTGGGAAACAGGGCCCTGCTCCTGATTCCGGGGATGTTCCTGGAATGCAGATCCTTCCAGCACTTCTCAGGCACTTCTTGGGAGTTCTGCAGAATTCCTCCTGTGTCCCTCCTGAACTGTTCCATGGAAATGACTGGTTTTCCATGTCACCACTAAATATTCCCAGTGTTTCCCTGTCACTGAAATTCCCTCAGTGATCCAGGGACTGAGATCCCTCCATGTCCTTGGCACTCACATTTTTTCCAGGTATTGCATTCCCTTCTTCCTTTTCCCTTTGTATTCCCAGTTTCCCTTTCCTTTATATTCCCTTCTCCCCTTTCCCTCTCCCCTTTGCATTCCCAGTTTCCCTCTGTGTTCCCTGAGGGAAAGGAGGGCTCATCCCAGGATCCCTGGGAGCAGGGCAGGGAATTTTTGGGATGCAGGGTCGGGGCTTCGCTTGCTTGGCCGCGTCGGGGCCCCGGAATTCCAGGTGGGAGAACATTCCCAGGGCTGGGTTGGGAATGTTTGGGTGGCCAGGCTTCCAGGAAAGCCCCTGGTGTCTGAGTATCCGTGGGAGTTCTCCCTGGATTCCATGTTTTCCTTCACTTGGGGCTCAGGATCGAGAGCAAACACGAGGTCACGATCCTGGGAGGACTCAACGAATTCGTCGTGAAGTTTTATGGACCACAAGGAAGTGAGTTTGGAAAATCCCCCCCCTCTTCCCTAAAATCCAGCTGCTGGCTGAGCCTGGCCTTTCCTGGGCCTGCCTTGGAGCTCAGCATCCCGAATTTTGGGGAATTTCCCACAAAATCCACTTGATTTGGCAACATCTCCGAAGGCAAGCGGAGGATTCCCAAAATCCCTGCTTTGAATGAGGCTCCTTGGGCTGGGATTGTCCTCAGGATCAGTGGGAATGATTTGTTCCTGCTGGATCAGGAATATTTAGGATGTGTTCCTGTGTAGCCAGGTTTCTGTTCCCAGTGCCCTGAAGGTCCAGAGGGTCTGGAATTCCTGCAATCCCGGGAAAACTTTGTCCCAGGGAAGCAGAAGACCTTTTCCATCAGAGTGAGAAACCTTGGGAGGGGAAAAAAAGGGAATATAAAAGACAAAATCCAGATGAATTCCCAGTGTTGCCAGCTGAAATCACGGATATCACGCCAGGAAAGGGCTTTTCCATAGGAGTTCTGCCAGGAATCTTCCCCCAATGGAATGTTTTATCCCAAGGGTGTGTTGGAGCTCCATTCATTGTCTCACAGAGGCTCAAAATGCCCTAATTCCTGCATTTCCTCCCTTGCAGCACCTTATGAAGGCGGAGTATGGAAAGTTAGAGTCGACCTTCCTGATAAATATCCTTTCAAATCCCCATCCATAGGTAAGGAATCCTCCTTTCCCAGCCCCGATCCCGGGATTTCTGAGCCCTTCCTGCGGCAGAAACGCTGATTTTCTAACACTTTGTACCCCCCAGAATTCCAAGCACTTCACTTAAAATGGAATTCAGTTTACTGGGGTTTCCTTTGCCCCCCGTGGGTTTAATCCCAGCCCTTGCTGAGGAAATCCCAGGCTTTTCCTGTGTGGGAAGAGCTGGGATGTGTGGGTGTTCCCTGCAGCTCATCCCTGTTCTCTCCTTGCAGGATTCATGAATAAAATCTTCCATCCCAACATTGACGAGGCGTAAGTGAAACCCTCCTGCCCCAGATCCCACAGAATTCCCGATATATCCCCCCTTTCCTGTGGTTCCAGGGGAATTTCCTGCCCTTGAGTCTCAGGGAAAGCTCTGGTTTCTGTTGTGATGGGATTGATGGGGAGTGAGTCAGGAATGTGGGAATGAATCCCTTATCCAGCCTTGGGAAGGATGATTTGATCCCTGGGTTGTTTTGGGGGTGATTGTGTTTAAAAAACATCTTTGCCCTGTTCTGATCCCGGTTTTTCCATGTTTTCCAGGTCAGGAACTGTATGTCTAGATGTAATCAATCAAACCTGGACAGCTCTCTATGGTGAGTTGGGAATGTCCCTCAGGGCTGGATGTCATTCCAGGACATTTCTTGGGGGGGTGTTTTCCAGAATTTTTGGGCTTTTCACTTGGCCAAAATCTCGGGATAGATCAGATTCCAGTGGAGGGAGAGGAGGTGGAACTGGGATGGGATGTTTGTCACCTCAGGAGGGGGATTCCCGCTGTGTGGGATATTTGGGATGGATCCCAGCAGGCTCCAGGGTGTCTGTGTGAGCCCTGAGGGTCGGCTGGAGCTGTGGGAGCCACTTGGTGCTTGGGGTTTTTTCCAGTGACATCATCATCTAAGCTCTGGGAGATGAAATCCATGGATTTAGTCCCAGAATCCTGGGCTGGGCTGGGCTGGGAGGGACCTCCAGGAGCTCCAACCCCCTGCCATGGGCAGGGAACCCTCCATGGAGCAGAGAACATTTAAAGAGAGCAAAGAAGGAGGAGAATCATTCAGTGAGGGAGTGAACACAGCACTGTCTGCTTTGGTTTTTCCTCGTTTTCCTGTTTCCCAGTTTTTTTAAGGCAGGATTAAGAATCCAGCCAGTCGTGTCCATGCAGTTCCCTGATTAACCCCCCAATATCTGCATTTCTGTGCTGAGAGCTGGAGCAGCCTGGGAGTTGTGGTGACTCCCTGCTCAGCCCTTCATGACTGATAGGTGATTTATTCCCCCTGGATCCATGGATTTAGCCCTGGAATCCCGGGATGGTTTGGGCTGGGAGGTGCCTGCAGGCTCTGCATTCCCACAGTCCGTGTGTGTGGGTGTTGGGATCGGGCTGGTTTGGGATTTTTGGTGACTCCCAGCGTGTCCCTCTGCGCTCTGCTCCGCCCGTTCCCGTTGTTCCCCCCATTCCCCCGCTCCCGGGTGTTTTCCCGCCGCCAGGCTCGGGGTGTGTGTGTGTTCCCGCAGATCTCACCAACATCTTCGAGTCGTTCCTGCCCCAGCTCCTGGCCTACCCCAACCCCATCGACCCGCTCAACGGCGACGCCGCCGCCATGTACCTGCACCGGCCCGAGGAGTACAAACAGAAAATCAAAGGTCAGCCGGCCCGCCAGCCCAGACATTCCCGGCATTCCACACCCAAGGAATCCCCCAGCCCTGTGGCATTGCCACCATTCCAGCCTCAGGGAATCCAGGAAAAACCTGGAAGTCGCAGCCCCCCCTTTTCCATCCCCGTTCCAGGGGTCCCTTTCCAGGTGAAACAGGGCGGGGTGGGGAGGAAGGAATGGGATGTGGGATGTGGGACAGGGCAGGGAATCATCAGCACACCCTACACAGGGAAAGCTGGAGGGAAACTGGGATAGGATTCCATGGGATTTTGAGGAATAGGGGAAAGAAATCACCGTGTGACCAAAATAATAGCAGGAAAATTCTGGTCAGGAGCATCCAGGAAACAATCCTTGGATAAAAAGGGGCTTGTTGGGAGTTCTTTGGGAAGTTCTGGGAGCAGGAATGGAGGGATTGGTGGTGCTGTTGGAAAAGGTGAGTGTGTGCTGTGGCAGAGCAGGAATTCTTGGAAAATCCCAGATCATCCTTCCCTGCCAATCCCTAGTCCAGCCAAGGTTTCCTAGAGGTCGGGAATTCCCATTGGGAAGCTGCAGGGAATTAATAAAGGCTGGAATATTGAGAGAGGGAAAGACCTGTAAGAGTTTAAAGGAGCAGAGGGGGTCCTGAGCCTTGGCACGGGGGAAGGGCCCTCAGGAAAGAAGGGAATGGTTTATCCTGGAAGCGGGATGGGGGGAGCAGGGAAGGGGGGAGCAGGTCCCGGAAGCTGCTCCGGGAAGGGCTCGGAAAGGGAGTCAGAACCTCCTTGGGATCAGGGAATGGACTCCCAAATCCTTCATTTCCTCAAGTCAGGCCCTTGCTGGCTTTGGGATTTGTCCTAAATCCCTGATTTTGGGAGTCAGTCACTCCCGTGCTGTTCCTTGAGGCCCATCCCGCTGTTCCCAGCTCCGACTGTGTGTGGTGCTGCCAGGGAATCCTTGGGACCCTCCTTGTTCCCAAGGGCTTTGCACTTCCACGAGGTCTCCACCTGTTTCCCGGTGTGCTGGACAGTGCTGGGAAGGTTTGGGAAGCACAGAATAATGCCAGGATGGTTTGGGATGGGAGGGGACACCTCCCACTGTCCCTCATCCAGCCTGGCCTTGGGCACTCCAGGGGTGGGGAACCCGCAGTTTCTCTGGGAATGCAGAACTTAGGGTTTATAAATGTATCATTTGGAGATGGTTTGGATGTCACTGGAGGTATCATTTACACCCAGTTTGGATCTAATTTAGATCCAGTTTACAGATATTTCCATGTCCTATGGATACAATTCCATGTGGTTGACAGGGGTGGTGACACGCCCTGACCGTGAGCTGTGACTGCTCCCCCTGCTGTGCCTGCTAAACACCCTTTTTCCCCTTTTTCCCCCAGAATACATCCAGAAATATGCAACAGAAGAAGCACTAAAGGAGCAGGAAGAAGGCACCGGGGACAGCTCCTCCGAGAGCTCCATGTCCGACTTCTCGGAAGACGAGGCCCAGGACATGGAATTGTAGTGGAGGGGCCCTCCTGCTTTTCAGAGACACTCTAATTTCCTAACCATGAGAAGCAGACTATAATATTCATATTTAAACAAAGCAATTTTTTTTATTACTAAACAAGGTTTTTATGAATTATAGCATTGATATATATATATATATCTCTCTCCACCCTGTAGGTCCCGAGGTCTCCTCCCCCTCCCCTGTCCCCGCTCGTGTCCCGAGGTGCGCTAGCGTATCCCCACATTCCATGTTGGTAGCAATATGCCGGGAATGCAGGAGTGCAGATTCCACTTGTTGCTGCTGGACTGTCCCGGGACAGCTGGCCCTGGCTAGGGAGGGAAAGAGCAGCCAAAAGCCAGGCAGAACAAAAACCCCACAGAGAAACCAAACCGAACCAAACCCCGGGATTTTCGCTTTCCGTGCGGCGTCTCCCGCCGGGACGCCCGTGTTTGGAACAGCCTCTGCCTCCCAGTCCCGATCCCGGGGTGGGAGGAGCGAGTGGAGCGGGCAGAGGGATGGATGGAAGGGGCTCCTCCCAGGGGAACAGACGGAAGGAAGTGAAGGCACGGCCGGAGCTGCCCCAGCCTGGAGTGTTCGCTTGGATCTCATCCCTCCTTCCTGAGGATTCCTCCCCGGACCGGCAGGACTGAGCTCTGCTGGAGCCCCTCTGGAAAACCTCTGGATGTTGTGTCTTTCCCGGGATTGCTGAGCTGCTCCCGCGCTGGGAGGGAAGAGCCCGCCGGATGATGCTCTTGGAACACTTGGATTCTCCGGGAGCGCTTGGAAGCGGAGCCCTTCCCTGGGATCGGAACCCGCTGCCCCGGAGCGGCTCCACGGTGGCTTTTTGGTTGCTTGGTTTATTTTTGCCCTCCTCCTTTGTTGTTGGTTTTTTTTTCTTTGCTTGGAATTTGGGTGAAACGCCTCCGAAACACCAGGAATCTCCTGGGACCACACGGATCAGCCTTCCAGGAGCTCCAGATCCACAGGGATTGTCCCACGGGCCGGAATCCACCGATCCATCGGCACTGATTTGATTTGATTTTTTTTTATTTTTATTTTTTTTCCCCCTTCTTTTCCTCCCTTTTTTTCCCCCCCCTTCCCCCTTTCTGCACCAGCTTGGTTCCCATCTGCTTGTGTGTGTACAACTGGGAATGAGGAATTCCCTGAAGAGTTAAACAAAGGAAAAATGATCTGGAAAAAAACCACAAAACAAAAAAAAAACTTAAAAAAAAAAAAACCACACAAAAAAAATCCACAAAAAAAATTAAAAAAAAAAATTGGAGATGAATAAAAAAATGCCTAAAAAAAGCACCACTCGAGGGAGCAAATGAATCCTCTTTGTTGTTCCGGGGTGGGGTTGAGGGGGTGCTGGGGAGGGGTCGGTTTGCCTTTTTGGGGATTGGAATCTTGGATTTTTAGTTGGTTTTTGGTTCCCTTTTTTTTTTCATCCCTTAAATTTCCCGTGTCTGCCTCTCCCCCTCGAAGGAGTTTGGGATCCTTGGGATCCCCCCAAGGAAGGGGGATTTCGGGGGATTCCCTGGCAGGGTTTGGGTGGGATAATCAGCAGGAGAAGCCCCCCTGGCGCGGAGTTTGGAACGTTGGACTGCTCTGTTATTCCCGGGTTTTCCCTCTCCATATTCCCGGTTTCCCGGGACTGCCGGGCCTGTGTTGAACCCCCATCCAAGCCCCGCCGGGCTGGGGGTCGGCACATCCCAACATCCCGAATTCCTGCAGCACCAACCCCCCTTTTTTTGCTGTTCCGGGGGTAAATCCCGAACTTTCCTCAGATCCCACTTCGCTTCCCGGGATTTTCCTCCCCCCTCCGTTCCCTTCCCGGCCATTCCTGGCGCGGAGCAGAGTTTTTCCCACCCCTTTTTCCCGGTTTTTCCCGCGTAGGGATGTGCCGGTGCCCGTGCTGGAGCTGCTGTCAATGCGTTCGTGGCTTGTGGGAGCTCATTAACTCCTGATGAACTAATTAACGTGCTGGTGTCGATGACTCGTTAGCACGTGCTTGGCTCGTTAATTGCGGGCGGGAGGGGCCGCTTTTAATGAACTTTTGCTGCCCCTGCTGGTGCTTTCAGCCTTCCTTAGGGGTAGATCCAGGGCTGGGGGGTGAGCCCAGTTGGAAAAGCTTCCCCCCAAAAAAACCAACCCCCCCCAAAAAAAAAACAACAAAAAAAGGAGAAAAATCGCAATAAAACTTTGTATTTTTCCAAGGTGGTATAAAAATAGTGGTGAATTCCCCTCCCGGCCCCCCGCGGAGTGGGGGTGGATTCCAGCCCTTCCTTCCCTCAGGAGGGTGCGGGGGGTTCTCCCTGTTCCCCTCGGGAAGTGCTGAGCGGGGATTCCCGAAAAACCCCGCCCTGGGAATGCCGCGGGTGATTCCCGGGCCGCGGGGAAGCTCCCGGAGCTTTTCCTGCCGTGTCCCGCAGATCCCGCCTGCTCCCGGCGGGAAAATCCACCCAAACGCTGCTTGGAAAAACGTCCCGGGAAAATGTCCAGGCGGGAACACTTGGGATGGAGAGGGGGGTGGGGTCGCTGCTGCTTCCCCTCCGGCATCTTCCACCTCTTTTTTCCCAAACCTCCCTCTTTTTTTCCAAATCTCCCTCTTTTTTCCTCCAAATCTTTTTTCCAAATCTCCTCTTTTTTTTTTCCCCTAAATTTTCCTTTTTTCCCCCCAAATCTCCCTCTTTTTCCCCCCCCAATCTTTTTTCCTCAAATCTTCTTTTTCCCCAATCTCCCTCTTTTTTTCCCCAATCTTTTTTTCCCCAAATCTCCCTGTTTTTTCCTGTCTCCCTCCTTTCTTTCAAGTCCCCCTCTTTTTATCCAAGCCCCCCTCTTTTTTTCTAAATCTTTTTTCCCCAAATCTCCCTCTTTTTATCCAAATTTCCCTCTTTTTTTTCCCAAATCCTCCTCTTTTTTCCCCTGAATCTCCCTTTTTTCCCTCTCTCTCTTTTTTTCCAGGCCTTCCTCTTTTTATCCAAATCCCCCTCTTTTTTTCCCCAAACTTTTTTTACCAAATCTTTTTATCCAAATCTCTTTATCCAAATCTCCCTCTTTTTTTTTTCCCTAAATCTTTTACCCTAAATCTTTTTTCCCCAATTTTTTCCCCAGATTTTTGTCCCCATTTTTTTTCCCAAATATTTTTTCTGGATGAAAACCATCTCCCTGTTCCTTGGAACCCCCTCTCCCAGAGCTGGGTAAAATCCCAGCGCATTTTAACCCTTTTTTTTTTTTTTTTTTTTAAAATAAACCCTGGAATTTGGGCTGGTCCTCGATCTCCCTTGGAGCGCTTGGAAGCCCCTGGACCGCCCGGCCTCGGCTCTGCTTCCCCCCGGGATCCATCTGCGGTCCCCATGGATCATCCGCCGGGATTTCCCGCCCTGGGAATGCCCCGCTGGAGGCGGAAGCAGCCAAGGTAGGAAGGTTGGAACTGATGATCCTCCAGGTGTTTTCCAGCCCTGACGTTCCTTCCCCGGCTGTTTTCCAGTGGCTGGGTGATGTCCCTCCAAGCCGATTTTTGGGATTTGGGGCTGGAAGTGCGGGATCCCACTCAGCCAAAGGCTCCTCGGAGCAGCACAGGCTGTCAAATCCCGGGATCCCGCGGTGGGAGCCGCGTAAGGAAGGGCTGGGAATCGTGGCAGGGGTGGATTATGGGGGTTTTTCTGGATAATCCCCCGAATTCCGGCTCGGTGTTTTGCAGGGATGGGGGTACCGTGTGCGGGGAGCGGGAGCAGCTGGCAGTGGGTGATTGGGGACGTGCCGAGGGATGTGACACCGCCTGGCCCGGGGCTTGTCCTGCTCGTCCCGCCTCAACTTCCTGCCCCAAATTCCCTGGAGCCGAGCGAGACCTTCCTCCTGCTCCTCCTCCTCCTCCTCCCCGGCCCCTCCCCTCGCTCCCGCCGGGGCCGTTTGTCCCCACTTTGGGGACAGGGGGGCGGGGCCGTGTCGTGCCAGTGCCACCTGCCGTGCCAGTGCCACCTGCCGTACCAGTGCCACCTGCCGTGCCAGTGCCACCTGCCGTGCCAGTGCCACCTGCCGTGCCAGTGCCACCTGCCGTGCCAGTGCCACCTGCTGTGCCAGTGCCACCTGCCGTGCCAGTGCCACCTGCCCTGCCAGTGTCACCTGCTGCCCGCGCCCCGCCCCGGCACGGCCGGGGGACAGCGGGGACACCGGAGCAGGGGGTGCGACCCCGTCCCGCTGCCACCCCCGGGCCACCAGCGCTCCGGGCTGGGCAGGAGAGGGGAACGCAGGGGGGACAGTCCCACCCCCCGGCCGTGCCCACCCCTCTCGGGGGCACTCGGGGCCGGCGGGGGTGGCACTGTCCCCTCCGCACGGCGGGGGTGGCACTGTCCCCTCAACCCGGCAGGGGTGGCACTGTCCCCTCCGCCCGGCAGGGGTGGCACTGTCCCCTCAGCCCGGCGGGGGTGGCACTGTCCCCTCCGTCCGGCAGGGGTGGCACTGTCCCCTCCGCCCGGCAGGGGTGGCACTGTCCCCACCGCCCGGCGGGGGTGGCATTGTCCCCTCAACCCGGCAGGGGTGGCACTGTCCCCTCCGCCCGGCAGGTGGCCCCCGCGCCACACCAGTGGCCTCCCAGTCTGCCCAGTCCAGCCCCCCTGTGCCCGCTGTCCCCCGGGGGCCAAGTGCCACCCCCAGCAGGAGGGTGGGGGTTGTCTGGGGGGGCTCAGGGCTGGGGTGACGTGAGGACAAGGGTTCAGACACCCAGAGGTGCCACCCTGTCCCGGGAGCACCCAGAGGGGTCACCCTGTCCTGGTCTCGTGCCGATGCCAAAGGGCGTGAAAGGGCAAAGCCCTGAGCTTGGACCCCGCTGGGATCCGGGTGGCACCTCCCAGGGATCTGGGAGAGATCCCTGCAAGGGGACATGGCCATGGGGCTGTGGCTGCCACCACTGCAGGGCTTCGGGTGCTGTCCCCGAGGGCTTCGGGTGCTATTTCCATTGGGCCCTGGGTACCACACCTGAGGGATTTGGGGTGCCACCTCCAAGGGGCTCTGGCTGCCATCCCTGTGGAGTTCTGATTACCTTCCCGGTGGAGATCTGGGTGTCACCCCCTGGGATTTTGGATGCTATCCTCACTGGGCTCTGGGTGCCATCCCCAAATGGATTTGGGTGCCATTTCCACTGGGCTCTGGGTACCATCCCCGAGGGATTTCGGGTGCCATCCCAGAGGGGTTCTGGGTGTTCCCATCTGGCTCTGGTCGGTGCCATCCCCAGGGATCTCTGGGTGCCACCCCCCTGGCATCCCCTGTGACAGAGGGGACAATCCAGCCCTGGTGGGTGCTCAGGGTGCTGGGGCTGCTCCCGGGCTGAGCGGGACATTCCCCCATCCCCCGGCTTTGTGCCTGTGCCCAGAGCCGGGATCTTCCACCACGGGAACCGCTCCCCATCCTCGTGGAATTCCCAAAAGCCTCGGGGCGGCTGCAGCCGATGGATGCTGCACATCCACGGGGTGCGATCCCAAAGGATGCGGCGCTCAGCCCGGCCCGGGAGGGGGGCGATCGCCCCCCGAGTGGGCACCGAGACGAGGCGGGGGCCTCTGGCGGTGACCCCGCGGTCCCCGGGGGACACCTGAGCCTCCCCCCCGGCCCCGCCGGCTCCGGTTACGGCCCGAATTGTTCCTCCCGGCTGGAAGAAATGCCGTCAGCGCCGGCGGATCGGTGGCCATTACTAATGCATGAGATTCCAGCGGCAGGGACGCGGCCGGGCCCGGCCACCCGGAGCGGGAATGGCCCCCCCAGAACGGCCCGTGCCCCCCGGGGGGACAGACGCGGCCTCGGGGAAGGGTCTTGCTCCGGGCTGGCATCGACCGGCCCCCAAATACCGGCTCGGGATGGCGCTGGATGCGCCTTTCCCAGGGAACAGGCGGCACGTGCTCTCCAGAGGGGCTGGAGCCCAAGTGCCCATTCCAAGCCGCATCCCAGCGCCGCATCCCGGGAGAGCGGGAGTGCTCCTGCAGGGAACGCTCAGAGCTCAGCGCCTGTTTGATGGCAAATGTCCCTGTTCCCCCCGACTGGCGATTCTGAGCCTTTTCCATCCGGGGCGTCTCCCTCCCCGCTTTGCCCCTTCCCAGTTTTTAGCTCTTCTTCCCAAGCTCCTCTCCTTCACCCCCGGTTTTCCTCATCCCAAATTTTTCCCACCTCTAGCGTGCTGATGCCAAACCCAACAACTTCGCCCTCGCCCACCTCGGACCAAAACCCTCCCCAAACCACGGTGGTCCCACGCCGGGGGGTGGGAATCTCATCCCCCCAGGACGAACCACAGCGACCCCTCCCCTATCCCTGAGCTCTTTTTCAAACCAGGATCTCGTGGAAAGGGGGGTGGGGGGGATTTTGCCAGTGCCATAACCGTGCCGGGGGGGTTCCCGGCTAATGCACCTCTGCTCCCTCATCCCCCACGTCAATATCCATTATCCCCGGCCCCATCTGAGCCCGGCAGGAGCCGCCGAAGGAAACGCGGCCCGGCAGAGCCCCCACCCCGGGCGCTTTCCCCACACCCCACCCCCCCGCCTTTCCAGAGGCTGCTCCAGGTCCTTCCACATCCAATATTCGGCCGAGGAACAGAAGAAGCCGCTGTAAATTTTTAAACAGGGCCATTTGCTGCGCTCGGTTTACGGGGCTGAGCCCTCCACGAAATTCTGGGGAGCCGGAATATCGACGGTGCCGGGGACAGGGACGAGCCCCGTGCCAAGGGGTTGGCACCACGGAAGCCATCCCAGCTTCGGGATCATCCTGGGAAGATGATCCCCAGGCTGGGATGGGAGACCCCCGGGTGTCAGGGGGCATCCCTGGGCATGGGCACCATCCCTGGGGTCTTGGGGACTGTCCAAGGTGCTTTCCTGCTTGGGGACCATCCTGGGATCTCAGGCACTATCCCAGGCTCTTGGGGATCATCCCAGGTTTCTCCTTGCTTGGGAACTATCCAGGGCTCTTGGGGAAGGATCCCTCATCCCCCCACGTCAATAGTCCATTATCCCCCTCTTGAGAACCATCTTGGAGTCTCAGGAACCATCCTGGGGTCTCAGGGACCACCCCAGGGTCTCGGGCATCCTCCTGGTTTCTGGGGCCTATCTGCCCTTCTTGGAGACCATCTCAGAGTCTCAGGAACTGTCTTGGGGTCCCCAGCACTCCTGGGGATCATCCCAGGCTCCTGGGAACCATTCAAGGTGCCTCCCTGCTTAGGGGCTATCCCAGGATCTCAGGGACCATTCCTGGGCCCTTGGGGACAATCCTTGCACCTATCGGGACATCCAAGGTGTTTCAGGGCTATCCCTGGGTCTCAGGGACTATCCCGAGGCTCTTGGGAACCATCTGGGGTTCCTCCCTGCTTGGGGACCACCCCAGGATCCTGGGGACCACCCCAGGGCAGAAGGAACATCCCAGACTCTGGGGACCATCCAGGGTTGCCTCCCTACTTGAGGGCCATCCTGGGATCTCGGGGACCATCCCAGCTCTGGGGGACCATCCCAGGACCCTCCTTTCTGCAGCATCACCCTGGGGTCCCACAGCACATCCCAATCCCACCCCAATCCCCACCATCCATCACCCTCACCCCCACACTGACCCCCTCTTCCCACCCTTGTCCTTCCCTCCCCACTCCCCCATCTCTCTTCGGGGGATTCTCCCCCCATCACCGTCTTCTGCTCCACCTAAACCCCCCCTTAAAAAAATCCGGGAAGCCCCGACCGGCTTCTCCCACCCTCCATCCCGGCTTCTCCCACCCTCCATCCCGGCGGCCGCGGCAACCCGATCCGGGTCCCAGCGGGCACCTGGCCCCAAACTGGTCGGGCTGGTTTGGAGCCCAGCGCTGCACACGCGCTTTGGGGCCGGGGGGGGCTCAGTGACCCCCTCCCAAATTTCTCTCTTTCTATTCCCATACGTGTTTCACACCCGTGGGGGGCGTTGGGGGTGTTCGGGTGCCATTTGCGGGTGGGATTTAATCTGGGGAAGAGACGGAATTTTTGGGGGGAGGGGGGAACGCAGCGGTGCCATCGCCGTGGCTGCAGGGCTGGGGCAGGGAGGGGACCCCTCCATCATCCTGGAGACCCCTCCATCACCCCGGGGACCCCTCCATTATCCTGGGGAAGCCACCACCACCCTGGGGACTCCTCCATCCCTCGGGGGACCCTTCCATTATCCTGGAGACCCCTCCACCAGCCGGGGACCCTTCCACCACCCCAGGGACCCTCCATCATCCCGGGGACCCCTCCATCACCCCGGGGACCCCTCCACCACGCCAGGAAAACTGCGGAGACGCCCCCCGTATCCATCGCAGCGAGGGTCGCGCCCCCCTCCCCGGGGCGGGCGGCGGCAGCTGCGCCTCTCGGGTTGCGCTGATGGGGGGGCTCAGGATCGTTTTCCTTCCCCCAGCTCCGCTCGGGGGGAGTTTCGGGAGCGGGAAACCGGATCGTGGCTGGAGGGGCGGCTCAGGTGCGCGGGGTCCGGTGTCCGACAGCCGGTGAGCGGCCCCGACGGCGGCCCCGGGGCGGGCCCGCGCCGCCTATAAAGGTGCCCCCCCAGGGGGAAGGAGCCGCCGGCCGCGGCTCGGCCCTGCCCGCGCCCTGCCCGCCCTGCCCGCCCGGCCGAGCCGCCCCCAGGCCGAGGGATGGGCGGGCACCGCCTCCCACCCGCCGACCGATGGACCGGGGGGGTCTCTCCGCCTGTTTAGCAGCTTGAGGAGTCCCCCCCGCCCCGCGCCCCGGGCTGCGGGGGTCCCACCGTCATCCCCCGGGGTGGGTGAAGGGGTAACGGGGGGACATGGACCGCGCCGGGACGCGGCGGGGCGGCCCCGGGGTGCGGTGGGTGGGAGGGGGCGGCCCAAGGTGAGCCCGTCCCCCTCCCCGCCCCGGGCCCGGCTCCACCTTCCGGGGCACCTGGGCCAACTGGGAGCCGCAGGGGGTCCCCGGCCGGGCTAAGGACGCCGCCGCTGCCGCTCCCCGCCACTTGGGCGAGCGCCGGGGCGGCGGCCGGCGGCAGGGACCCTCGGGGACGCGGGGTGGCGGGGGTCCATGTCCGTCTGTCCCCCCAGCCCCGCGGTGACCCCCTGTCGGGTCCCGGCTCGGCCGCCCGGAGCCGAGGCAGCGCCCGGAGCAGAGGTAAGTGCGGCCGGGGGCAGGTGGGGTCCGCTCGGGACCCCCTGGGGCTCGGGGACCCCCCTTTCAGCCGGTCCGTTCCTCCCGGGGCCCCTCCCGGCAGGATCCGGCCCCGGGGCGGGATGTGCCCCCCTGTCCCCGCTTTTCCTCGACGGAGGGTCCCCTGAACCCCTTCGGGCTGAGCCCCCCACCTCACCCCTCCTCCGAGCGCCCCCCACCCTTCCCGGGGTCCCCCAAACCTCTGCCGTCGGGGGGAGATCGCAGCGATCGCGTCTCACCGGGACGAAGGGATTGACAACGAAATCGGGGTCCGGCCCCACCACCCGCGGCCACCGCCGCCCCTCGGCCCGGGAGGGGGTATTTTGGGATCCAGGCGTGCCCCTCCGACCCCCCCGGTGCGATGTGGGGCCGCTTTGTAGCCCCGGCGGCAGCCCCGGCGGCACCAAAAGCACCGGTAACGAAAGCCCGGCTGAGGGGACCCCCTGGCAGGGGGGGTGCTGCTGTGGGGGGTGTCCGAGCCCCCCAACGCCGCGGTAAGAACCCCCCTGTCCGCCCCCCCGCCCGGTGCCGCGGTGAGTTTAGGGAGCCGCGGGGTCAGGAGTGTCCCCAGCCCTGCGTGGGGACACCGCAAGCTCGGTGGGGAGGGGCAGGGCGGGTCCTGCCCGGCCGGGGGGTGCTGTGAGGGGAGAGGGTTCCTCGGGGGGCCATGGCCGGTGTCTGCGGCACAAACCTGCCCGGGCCGACCCCAGAATGGGGCTCCCGGCTGAGCACGGGCGGCTCCTTCACTGTCGCTGTCCTTGTCGCCGTCCCTGTCCTCGTCTCTATCTCCATCCTTGTCCCCATCCCAAGCCCATCCTCATCCTCGTCTCTGTCCCTGACCACGTTCCTGGCTCTGTTTCCATCTCTGTCGCCATCCCTGTTCCCGTTTCCATCCCCATCTTTATCCCTGTCCCCATCTCTGTCCCCATCCCTGTCTTCTCCTCCTTCTTCTTCTTCTTCTCCTTCTCCTTTCCCTTCTCCTCTTTCTCCCTATTCCTGTCCCCGTCCTCATCTCCATCTCAGCCCCATTCCCATCCCCGCCTCTGTCCCCATCCCTGTCTCTGTTCCCTCCTGCCCTTGTCTGCATCCTCATTCCCATCCCCATCCCCATCTCCTTTCCCTCCCGCCCTTGTCTCTGTCCTCATTCCCATTCATTTCCCTCCCATCCCCATCCCCATCCCCATCCCCATCCCCATCCCCATCCCCATCCCCATCCCCATTCCCATTCCCATTCCCATTCCCATTCCCACCTGGTGATTCCCGGGGACCGGGACCCGCAGCCAGGGAGTGGGTTTGGGGTGTGGAGCACAGTTGGGCGCCCGCCCCCCATGGCAGGGGTGACAGTGGCAGTGCCACCGCCCCGAGCCACCCCAGCCCTGTCCCCGCACGGCCGAGGTGGCTCCGAGCACCATCTTGGAGGCGCCGCTGCCATCCCCGAGCATCCCTGGATGGCTCCGGTGCCCTCGGGCATCGGTGATGGCGTTGGGCCTGGTGGGGCCCCAGAAGGGTCAGGGGGGCCGGGACACGCCCGTAACCCCGGGGCGGGTGTGGGGCCTTGCGGAGAGCGCTGTGGGGCGGCGGGAGCGGGGCCGGGGGCCGGGGGCCGGGGCCGGGGGCACATCCGCAATGCGGCAGCTCCCAACGTCACAGCCACGGCCCCGCAGGGGCCGGCCCGGGCCTGCCCTGCCGCAGTGGCCTTGGGCGGGGGACACGGGGGACACGGGGGCACCCCAGAGCTGCCGCCCCCACGGGGGCCGGGCCGGGGGGCAGCGGGAAGGGCCGGGAGCGCCGCCGGGGCCACCGCGGCTCCCAAAGTCACGCCAAGGATGGCGCCGGGCTCGGCCTCGCCCGTCGGGCACCAGGGCGGGGTCCCCCAGGTGAGGACGCCACGAGGCCTTGGGGGGCTCCACTTCCCGTTGGGGGCTGGGCCGGGCGGGGCACCGGGGCTGCCCCGGTTTTGGGTGCCGCTGCCGGTGGGAAGGCGGGGCGGGTGGGGACACGTCTGTCCCCTCTGGTGTCACACCCGAACCACGGGGTGGGCCCGGCCCTGCTGCTCGTCCTCCACCCCTAACTCGAGGCCGGGTGGGGTGTGGGGGGTCCTGGCTGCGTCCTGGGGGGGTCAGCTCCCGTTCCCAGAGCCGGGGTATCCCGAGCTCATCCCGGGCCCGCTCGGCTCGTTGGGGCCTCGGCTTTGCCCACACAAAGGACACTTTGTGCCTTCCTCCTCCTCCTCCTCCTCCAATGGTGCCGCTGGGACGAGGCCGGGGCCGCCCGGGGGGTCCGCAGCCATCGGGCGGGGCTTGGAGGCGTTTTGGGGGGTCTGCAGCCATCCAGGGGAACTCCACCACGGGGAGGGGCTGCATCCTCTGGGGGCTCATCCTTTGGGGGGTCTGCGGCAACCACGAGGGCGTGTGAGATCTGGGGGGGCTTTGCCACCGTCCGAGGGGCTTGGGAGCTTTTTTGGGGGGGTCTGGAGCCATCCAGAGGGGGTGGAACCGTTTGGAAGGTCTGCATCCTCTTGGGGGATCCGCATCTTTTGGGGGGGCTCACCCTTTTGGGGGATCTGCAGCAATGAAGAGGGTTTGGGATTTTTTGGGGGGTTTTGCAGCTACTTGGGGGGGTGTTGTGACATTTTGGGGGGTTTGCAGCCATCCCAGGGATCTGCCACCATTGGGAGGGGCTGCGTCCTTTAGGGGGCTTGCAAAGTTTTGGGGGGTCTGAGGCCATCGAGAGGCTTGGTGAGATTTTGGGGGGGTTCAGACGTTCAGGGTGGGTGGGAAATTTTTTTTTGAGGGGAGTTGCAGTGGGGTTTTTTGGGGGGATGATTCAAGTCATCAAGGAAGGTCACAACTTTTTTGTGGTCTGCAACCATCTGGGGGGGCGCGGCCTTTTTTGGGGAGTTAAAACAATCCAGGGGAGCTGCAGATTTTTTAGGGGGGTTCAGCCATCTAGGGGGGGTTGCAGCATTTTTGGGGGGGTTGCAGCCATTTGCATAGTTTAGAATTAATTGGGGGGGTTGCAGCCACCTGGGGGTTGTGGAACCATCCAGGGGCTTTGGAACCATTGGGGGGCTCTGGGATCATCTGGGGGGGGGGCCTAAAACCATTGGGGGGCTTGCATAATTTAGGGGGTCTGGGATCATTTTCGAGGGCTTAAAGCCATCTGTGGGGTTGGTATCATTTCGGGGGTCTGTCACCGTTCCAGGGGCTTGAAACCATCCGTGGATCTGCAACATTTTGGGGGAGGTGTGACTGTTTTGGGGGGTTTGCAGCCGTGTTTTGGGGGGTGGCAGACCTGGGGCTGGGCCACCCGCACGAGGTAGAGCTGGGAAATCCCTTCCAGCACCGAATCCCAAAAATCCCCATCCGAGCCGGGGAGTGGATTCCCCCCTCACTCCTCCCGCAGAGGCGGCTGCGGGACTTGGCGCTTCCCTTTCCCCCGGCGCTTCCCGGGGCGTTTTGCCGATGGATGATCATCGATTCCCGTTTCTCCCGGGGCGCGGGGGGTGGGATTCGGGCGCGGCAGGGAGATGGAGCTCGCTACTCCTGTCCTGTGTATGGCACTGGTAGAATTCACTGTGCAACGCCGCGGTCAGTGAATTACCATAGGGCCATAAACAGAGCAGAGACAGAGCCCGAGCCCCGCGGGGCCCGCGCGGCGCCGCCCAGCCCGTTTTGGCACTAGCACATTTTTGCTTTGGTCTGTAGCGTTGGAGCAATTATGTGTAGTGCCAATATGGGAGGAGGTGGAGACAGCAGCGCTGGGGGCGGGGGGCGCGGGAGGGGCACCGCGCGGGGGGAGGAGGGTCAGGGCGGGGACGGTGCGGGAGGAAAGGTGGGAAACGCCCTGGGATTACTGGGGTGGTGGAGGGGTGGCCAGGATCCCATCCAGGGAGGGGTGTCCTTCAGGGCCCAGCCAGGGATGTCCTTCAGACTCATGGAGGGCTGTTGGATTCCATCCCTGGAGGGATGTCCCTCAGGCCCCATCCAGGGAGGGATGTCCTTCAGATCCCATCCATGGAGGGATGTCCATCAGACTCCATCCAGGGATGTCCCTCAGACCCCATCCAGGGAGGGATGTCCTTCAGATCCCATCCATGGAGGGATGTCCCTCAGACCCCATCCAGGGATGTCCCTCAGACCCCATCCAGGGAGGGATGTCCTTCCTATTCCACCTATGGAGGGATATCCATCAGATTCCACCTGTGGAGGGCTTTCCATCAGGCCCCATGCAGGGATGTCCCTCAGAACCCGTGCCTGGAGGGACATCCCTCACACCCCGTCCAGAGATGTCCTCACACCCCGTCCATGGGTCCATCCCAGCGTCCATGGGTCCATCCCAGCGTGGTGTCCCAGCCCGTGGGGACATCCCAGCCAGGCCGTGTCCCCAAGGATGGACCCCCCTCACTCCTTGTCCCCTCCCACAGTGGTGGCATCTCCACGGGTTGGGCCGAGCACCCCACGGGGGATCAGGAGTTGCACGTGGGGTTTCCTGCCTGGGTGGGTGAAATGATGTTCTCTTTTTTCCCTGTTCTTTTCCTGTTCTTTGCAGCTCTCCAGGCCTGGCTCCGCAGCCCCGTGTGCCCCTGTCCCCAGCGCTGCCTTTGGCAATGGTAGAACTCACACTGGTGCAGTAGCAGGATCCGGTGGTTCTAGACTTGCCAACTACAGCCCCGGGGAGCTGCCACGGACACGGGACCCCTGCGCCGGGGGGGGCACCCCAGCACCCCCCCACCCGGGCTGGGAGGGTCCCGCGGGGCCCTGCGTGGATTTGGGGCGTGGGGGTGTCTGTGCCCACGCGGTGCGGGGGGATGCGATGCCCGGCCCGGGGTGGGGGGGTCCGACATCCCAGCGTGTCTCCAGGGAGGGGGATGAGGGACCTGCAGGATCCCGGTCATTGGAGCAGCCGGGCCACGTGTCCCGCCTGCCTCCGGCGCTCGGGGCTGATCCGGGACCCGATTCGGGCAGGGCCGTGGGCGGGGGTGGGATTAGGGAGCAGCTCCTGCCCCCAGCCCTGGATCCATCCCCTGCTCCTGGATCCATCCCCTGCTGCTGGATCCATCCCCTGCTCCTGGATCCATCCCCTGCTGCTGGATCCATCCCCTGCTGCTGGATCCATCCCCTGCTCCTGGATCCATCCCCTGCTGCTGGATCCATCCCTGCTCCTGGATCCATCCCAGCTCCAAACGCGGCTCATGCCCGTGTTTCTGGGAAGAGCAGACACTGATGCAGCCGGACAGGCCGGAGCAGCTCGCGGTGGCTGCCGCGCGTCCCCGCCCGTCCCCAGGAGCAGGGCAGGGCCGGTGCCGGTGTTTTGGGGGACGCAGGGAAGGGCAGGGAAGGAGCTGCCGTGCTGGGGGCGGGGGGCTGTGCCCGGCCCGGTCCCCCTGCCAGGCCCCCGGGCTGAGGTTGGGTATGTAGGGCAGCGATTACCAGATAAACCCGCGCAGATTGGATCACCGGGATTAGGCTGCACGCTCGGCTCATCCTCCCGCGCTGGGGGTGGGGAGGGACCCACGGGGGTCCCGGGGCAGGCGGGGGGCTGTGGGGGGCTCAGGCTGGCCCTGTGTCTGTCCGTGTGTCCGTGTGTCTGTTCATCCACCCGTCTGCTCACCCAGGGAGCAAAGGTCTGTCTGTCTGTGCCTCCAGCCATGCATCCAGTGGGAGTCCAGCCACACATCCCCCTCTGTCTGTCTGTCTGTCTGTCCAGCCGTGGAACCATCCAGGCACCTACCTGCCTTTCCATGCTTCCATCCATCCATCCATCCATCCATCCATCCATCCATCCATCCATCCATCAGCTCGTCTGTCCAGGCATCCAGACGATCCAGACACTGCTCCATCTGCCAGTCTGTATGTCTGTCCATATCCATCCATCTGTCCATCCATCCACCAGTCTTTCCATGTAACTGTCCATCCATCTGTCCAGTCAGACATTGATCCATCTACCAGTCATTCCGTCCATCCATCCATGCATGCATGCATCCATCCATCCATCCATCCATCCATCCACCCACCCACCCCTTGCCCCCTCTCCCAGTCCGTCCATCCCTCCCTCCCTGCCCCCAGTGCTGGGATTATTCCCCCGTGGGGGGAGAGGGGGCGGAGCCTCCTCCCCAAGCCCCACCCCAAAAAGGCCGCACCCATCCAAACCCCACCCCTTCCCAAAAGGCTCCACCCCCCAGCCACCCAAAAGTGGAGCCGGTGCCCAGCTGGACCAACATTCCCAACGTTCCCGCGGGACCAGCTCCCTGCTGGGAAGCCCCCCCAGCCCCCCTCCATCCTGGCCTTTCCCAGCAGCCCGACTCATCCCGAGCCTCCACCGGCATTTTTGGGCTCAAACCCTGCAGTTTTTGGGCCCAGCCCCTGCAATCTGTGGCCCCGTCTTGCAGTTCAGGGCAGAGCAGCGCTGGGACAGGAACAAACCCACGCAGGGACCCCAGAATCGCCCCGCGGTGCCCAGGCCGGGCAGGGGGAGCGGCTCCAGCCCCTGCAGCCCATCCCAGTGGGAAGCAGAGGTGGCTGCTGCTCCAGGAGCCGTCCCAGCGGGAGGCCCCGACCTGCTTATTAAAGGCCGATTAAGGCAGATTAAAGCTCCCCGCAGCGTCTGCCGGGCCTGAGCCGCCTCCCCCGGCCCTGCTGCCGCAGCCAGGGCCCCTCGGGGGGGTGTCCGGGGGTCCTGGACCCCCCAGCTCCCCTCCCAGCTGAGGCAGCATCTTGGATAGCCAGGCTTGGAGCTTGGATCTGCCCCCAGGGAGCATCCACGTCCCCTCCGTCCTCCCTTCCCTCTCTCTGCCTGTTCTTCCCACCTTCCCTGCTCACTCTTGTCACCCCAGGCCCCCAGAAGCTTCCACAGGACTCATCCTCCCCTCTGGAGCCAGGGATCGGCCGTCCCGACATTCCAATAAAGCTGCTGAAATCCAGCCCTGCGCTTCCCGGCTCCTCCTTGGGTTTGCACCCCCGACAAACACACCCGGGAGGGGGGTCAAGGGAGGCTGAAAAGGCGGGAATTCCACCCCAAAATCCAGCTCGGCCCCCGGGTGGGAGCAGGGGGTGGTGGTGGCAGGGATGCTCCAGCATTCCCGAGGTTTCCATCCGGCCCACGTTGACGTGGTAAGAGGGGAAGGAAGGAGGTAACTTGGACACACGGGAAGGATTTAAAGCCCAGAGCACCCCCTGGACAGGGAGGGGCGGCTCAACATGCCCCAAATCCCCCAAACAGCAGAGCTGGACACACGAATAGACACATTTGTAACAATTTATTGAATGAGGCAATAACAGACACTGGGAAAACAAGGGGGGAGGGGGTCCATGCTCTGCTATTTTCCTGGGTTTTGCCTGGTTTTTTTTGGGGGAGGGAACCTCTGGGACTAAAAGAACCTCATTTCATCGCCAAAGAAAACACGGACTTGAAAAGCCACCGACATCTGCACCACGACCATAGAAAAATAATCATTAAAAACCAAAATCAGCCGTAAGTTGGAGAACCAGGACTGTTCCTGTGGAAAGATCTCCCCCCTCCCCTGGAAAAGGACCCAAGAACTGTGTACAAAGAACGTTGGAAAGGGGGGGGGTGGGAGTGGGGTTTGGGTGGGGTTTTTTTCTCCATATAAAACAAGTAAATACAAGAATCTGAAAACTCCCTCGGAGTGAGACGGGGGGAACTTGAATGGCCACGTGGGGATGGGAATAAAAAACACCCCAAAAAAAAGAACCCCCAAATTAAATCCCGTGGGAACTGCTGGGGGTGGGGGTGGGATGTCCAGTAAAATTCCACACCCCACACCCCCCCCTTCAAAAAGAAATCCCCTTGAGGCTTTTTTGAACCCTCCTGGGAAGGATTTTGGGATTAAAAACCCTGCTGGGGGATGCACAGGGAAGGACTGGGAGCCTGGATCTGGGGTGCAGAGGGTCCCCTACAAAGAGAGGGTCCCAAAGGGGGGTTCCCAAAGGGAGGGTTCCCCAAAAGGGAGGGTTGCCCAAAGGGGGGGTTCCCCAAACCCCAGAGGGAAGGGCCTGCACTCGCATCCCCCCACTACCCTCAGGCAAAACTTTTCCCATGGGAATCAGATCTCCAGGGCTGGGAAGGGGAAGCTGAGGGTCCTGGGAAGGGGGAAAGGAGGGAAGTGGGGAGGGGGATGAGCCCGAGGCGGCTCTTTGGCGAGGAAGATCCTGGGGACGTGGTGGGGACGCAGCCAGAGCCCCTTCGGAGGCGCTTCCGCTCCGGATGAAGAGCCACGAAACCGGGAAAATAATAATAATAACAACGACATCGACGACGACAATAATAATAATAATAATAAAGAAAAACCCAAGGGGCAGAATGGCAGGTACTTTCAGAGCAGAGAAGTGGGGGCAGGTCTCCAGTGTGCACCAAGGGGAGCCGGGCGGGCCAGGCTGGGCTCTCCTGGAGGAGCATCATCCCTTCGGGAGGTGCCACCCCCTGCAGTCACACGTGCAGTTTGGTTTGGTTTGGTTGTTTTTTTTTTTTTTCCCAGGAGAGGAGTCTTTTCCCAACTTTTTTTTTTTCCCCCGTTCTGGGTGGGTTTTTGTCCTACAAAAGTCCGTATTAAAAGCGGTCCGTGCCTGCTTTGCCGTGCCCGGGAGGGGCAGGAGCAGCCGAGGGTTGTCCACGCTCCCCGCTGGCCTCGTCCTGCTCCGTCCCGCGGCCGGGGGTGGGCTGGGGGTTTGAAAAACGGGGCTAAACATTTGCTTTCGTTTTCTTTTGAACCTCCTCGGAATCCCAAAAGTCACAATGTGGCTCCTCCGGGAGCGGAGCGGCGCTACAAAAAATGCACTTTTTTACACCGACATCCTCTGCCAGGATCTCAGGACTCTTTTCTCGGTTTTTCTTTTTTAGTAATTTTTTTTTCCTTTAAAAAAAAAAACCCAAACAAACAAAACAAAACAAAACGACCAAAAAAAAAAAAAAAAAAGATCAACAAAACCTGTGGGTTTGTTATTTTTTTTTGTTTTTTTACGCTTCCAAAGCTGGGAGACTCCGAACGCCACCTGATTGCATCTCTGGAGAGGAGTAAAAAAAAATCTGCAGCCGAGTAAAGAGGCTTGGGGACTTGCTGCGGGTCACTGGTCCAGGGTGACCACCTCCACCGCCTGCCCGTCCATGGTGACGGCCGTGTCCGCTATCCGCGTGGTCACCGGCGCCATCGCCACCTGCACGGGGCCGTTGCCCTGGGCCAGGCTGGTCACCACGGTCTGGTACATGCTCACCGGGATCTGCACGAGCCCTGCGGGGACACAAACCCACACGGGACGGTTGGAGGGGAAGGGGCAGCCCAGAGCAGGCCCAGGAGCTGCTCCCAGGGCTGGATCCCTCTGCTCTGGAGCCAGGCTGGGACAGCTGGGGGGGATCACCCGGAGAAGAGAAGGGTCCAGGGAGACCTGAGAGCCCCTGGCAGGGCCTAAAGGGGCTCCAGGAGAGCTGGAGAGGGACTGGGGACAAGGCCTGGAGGGACAGGACACAGGGAATGGCTTCCCAGTGCCAGAGGGCAGGGACAGATGGGAGATTGGGAAGGAATTGCTGGCTGGGAGGGTGGGGAGGCCCTGGCTCAGGTTGGCCAGAGAAGCTGTGGCTGCCCCTGGATCCCTGGGAGTGTCCAAGCCCAGGTTGGAGCACCCTGGGCCAGTGGAAGGTGTCCCTGCCCATGGCAGGGGTGGCACTGGATGAGGTTTAAGGTCCCTTCCCACCCAAATCATTCCATGATCTCTTAGTGAGACTTTTCATTCCATGTGTGACTTCCAGGTGGGATGGGAGCAGGGGTGGGCTGGGGTGGGGCTGGGGGGAACCCCCCGAGCTCAGCCCACACCCCGAGGCTGTGCAGCTGCAGGGAGAGACAATAAGGGTAAGGAGGAAAGAAATGAGATTGGTTTTCGGGGTAGGAACCCAAAGCAGCCGTGTTTGGGGGTGGTACAGCAGGCACAGCACAGCCAGCCCTGTCAGGCCCAGTTTCCTGGAGACAGGGATTGCTCCGACGTGTTTCTCCCACATCCACGGCTGTGCCCCCCCAAGCCCACCAGTGACACCCACAGCTAAGGAACATCCCTCCAAAACTTCTTCCACTTGATTTTCCCAGAGCTGGGAAACGTGGGGTTGAGGAAGGGATAAACTTGGCTTCTCCCACCCCCTGCAACTCTGCAGGTCACTCCAGCACCTCCCCCCTGGTGGCACATGGAAGGATCCCTGTGGATCAGACACCAGTCCTGCCCGTGAGCTCTGGTACAACCACTGCCAAGCACAGTTCCCTTCCTCCAGCTGCCCCTCCATCCCAGCCGGGTCCTTCTCCCCTCACACCGGGACAGGGGAAGGACAGAGTGGGACCAGCCAGCCCTGGTAGAGCCAAAGCTGCCCCTGGCACCAGCTGCAGGCACTCCCACATTTATAGTGCATCTGCCACAGAACAGAGAGAAAGGAAAGCCAACCCTGATTCTCAGCCCTTCCCTGGCCATGGATGGGTCTGGCAAAGCAGGAAACACCTTTTTCCCAGCTGCAGGAAGGGATGAGATGCCCCTGGAGCTGGGAAAGCTTTGGAGCACAGAGGGAAGTCCCAGTGTGTCCCAGCCAAGGTGACAACAAAACAAGGAGGCCCCCGAGGGTTACTGTGAGGTGAGTGATGGAAAGAGGTGGAGCAAAGAGCAAGGAGCTGGTACAGCCCCAGGGAGCCAGGCAGGGCATGGGAATGGCAAATCCTGCAGGCTGGGGGGACAAACTTCATCCTTCCACTCCGGTGTTACCGCTGTGCCCACCCCTGCCTTGGGGGATTGGGAACAGCGAGGCAATGTGGGCATTTCTGAAAACATCTGCCCCTTTGCCGGGGAAAAACCCAGCTTTTTGGGGTCACCACAGAGGCGGCAGCAGCGGGGGGGCAGTGCCTGCTCAGACAGCACGTCCTGAGCGAGGCCCCCCGACAAGGCAGGACAGCCCCTGGTGGGGCAGCGGGGGCAGAGCTGCCCTGCCAAGGGCACCCATCGGTGCTGAGGGGGCACAGCCCGGGCGCTGTCCTCGGATAACTCGGTGTGCAGACAGGAAAGCTTAGGAGGAGTTAATCGTGCTGCCCAGGGGGGTGACCCGACCGGCCCAGCGCCTGCTGCTCCTCCAGCACCCTCCTCCCCTGGCACCTCACAGCGCTCCACAGGGGAACCTCTGGGGTCCCCACGCCCCAGGGCTGCCCCACGCCAGAGTGGGGCATATATATATATATATCTATCTCCATACCCAGCCCAACCAAGGAACTGCTTTCCTGGTGGGATGCTCCAGCACTGACTTCAGGAGAAAGTTCCAGGCTCCCAGGGCGCTTCCCGGTCAGGAAGAATTTTAGGGAACAAAACTCTGGAAGGAGAGGTGGGGCTCAGTCCTCCTGAAGCGAATCTCCCACCAGGGCCTTTGGGAGAAGGCAGCACATCCCAGTTTAAGCAGGACCTGGGGATCTGGCCTGGGATGCACCTCGAATCCCCCCTCCAGACCAACGAGCCACCTAAGCCCGTGGGGCTGCGAACCCGGAGGAGACGGACAGAGCTCCCGAGGGACACACGGACAGCCCAGGCAGCAGAGTCACCACGAGCCCCACGGACCACAGACACAGGCACGGCCCCTCCACGCTGCCAAACACGGGTCATGGGGACACCTGAGGGATCAAGGAATCTGCTGGGCTGGAAGGGACCCACCAGGACCAACCCAACGGGGTTGGTTTTTTGGGAAAGGCTGAATTAATTCAACCAAGGTTTGGCTGAACACTGCCAAAATTGGGTGATGGGGAGACCTGAAGGATCACAGAACATTCTGAGCTGGAAGGAACCCACAAGGCCCAGCCCAAGTGGGTGGTTTTTTTTGGAAAGGCTGATGAACTCAGCCAAGGTCTGGCCACGTCTTGGAGTGCCCGGAAGAGCGGGGAAGTGTCCGTGAGAGACGGCGCCGCACAGATCCCTTTCTGCCAGGGATTAAAGCAAATCTCCTCAGCTCTGACGTAGCCACCTTCCTGCCAGGGGTGGGAAGAACCCAAAGGAGGAGAGGACTGGGAAGTCTGTGGGCATTAGGGCAGAGCTGATCGCCCTTGGGAGGGACACGATTAGAGCGCCGAGATGCCGTAATCAGGTCTGGGATTGGCCCCGCGCTGCATCTGCTCAGACCTGCGCCCTGATTAGCCCTAATCTAGCTGGCATATGTTAATCTAAAGCGTGGATTTCAGACCCTTTCAATTGTATTAAACCCAGGAAATCCATTAGACACAAAAGTCCCGAGTCTTTGGGAAGCTGTGGGTCTGTGAAGGGAGCGCTGCGAGGAACGGGCAGGGAACGGGGATCCCGTGGGATCAGGGACAGCTCAGACCTCCTGCCTGGGGAGGGACAACAGCAGAGCTGATGGATCACACCCTGAGCAGCACAGACCATGGCCATGGATCCCTGGGAGTCTCCAAAGCCAGGCTGGACAGGGCTTGGAGCAGCCTGGGATAGCAGGAGGTGTTGGGGTTGGAGCTGGATGGGCTGTAAGGTCCCTTCCCACCCAAACCATCCCAGGATTCCATGGCCTGAGCCACTTGAAACCACCAGGCACTGAACAGGAGATGAGGATGGACTCAGCCTAAGACAGCAGGGAGAAGGCAGGGTGTCCTGTGTCCCTGAGCAGGACAGCATTCCACATCTGGAAGGACTGGGAGTGGGCACAAAGGCTGGGGACTTGTCCGTGCTGCACGTGCTGTGATCCCAGGGGTGAGGAGGGGTTAGAGCAGGGCAGGCACTGGCACTGATGATCCCAATTCCCTGAACATCGACAGCCAGGGGCAGCCACAGCTGGTGCTGCTCCTGAGATCCAGTGTCCAGAGGCACAGCCAGCAGCAGGGAGAGGCATTCCCAATGGACTGGATGCCAAGGTGGGCACACCTTGGACACCACAGGGCTGAAGGGTGTCTGCTTTGACCTTCTGAACCCGCTGTAGCGCCAGGAGGGAGAGATTGAAGCCTCTCAGCCCCCCTTAGAGCTCTGAAGGCCTTACAGTGCTCACACAACGATGGCAAAGGCTAAAGAGAGTGGAATTTCCCACTGGACTCCCTTGGCTGTTGACATACAACTCACTCAGAGGGCTGTGTGTCCATCTCCTCAGCTCTCACTGAGGGGAACCAGCAGCACTGTGCTCAGCACGACTGCTGAGCCATTTCCCTGAAGATATTCCTGCACAGCCTGAGGAATCCAGCCGAGATTCCCATGCTCAGGAATGCCCCAGCACACAGCTCAGGAGATCCCATCCCATCCCTACCTACAGTTCACACAGCTCAGGAGATCCCATCCCATCCCTACCTACAGTTCACACAGCTCAGGAGATCCCATCCCATCCCTACCTACAGTTCAGGAGCAAGGGTGACTTTTGGGGATGAGATGGGGGAATTCTCAGGGACAGGAGGATTTTAATGCAATGCAAGAAATGGAGCAGAGAAATGAAAAAATAAATTAAAATCAAGCTGGAGGGCCCCCCAAAACCACAATGTTTGCCCTCAGTGGGCAGCAGAAGGGAAGAGCTGCATTCCCACGTGTAAATACATCCAGGCTGCTGCAGGTGAGCAGGGAATAATGGTCTTTTCTGAGAGTTTTTCCATGGGACAGAGCAAGATGAGCTGGAGGTGCAGCATGGAAAGCTGCACTAGGTATTAGAGGTGGGGAAAACCCCAGGCAGCAGCTCAGTGGGAGGTCAGTGAAAAAACCCCTCTGACCGTGGAGAGGAAGAACCCACCAAAGCCAAAGTGTGCCCTGAGACACGAGGTGCTGCCAGGACACCACGGATGGGATCTCAGCCCAAAGCCCCAGTGCAGAAATCAGGCACTCCAGGAACACCACCCCACTCAGAGGGGGCAGGGGAAGCACCAGACATCCCTGAACTCCTTGTTTGAGAGCAGCTGAACTGTCCTGTGAAGGCTCAGCCCCCACCTCACTCCCCCTCACCTGCAAGAGCATCAAGGACTGACGCAAATCAGATAATTGGAAGGATTTTCCCCATCAGAAAATCCTGCCCCTGGATCCCTGGAAGTGTCCAAGGCCAGGCTGGACGGGGCTTGGAGCAGCCTGGGATGGTGGAAGGTGTTGGGGCTGGAACTGGATGATCTTTGGTCCCTTCCCACCCAAACCATCCCGTGATTCTGTGACGGGGACAAATCACAAAGAGCCTGTCTGAGGGGTTTTTTAAGCCCTTCAACTGAAGCCCTGAGAACTCTCCAGGCACACAGCGGTCCCAGCTCTTCCCCAC